GAAGAATTCTACCAACTTCTTGATCAAACATGCAATCAAGATATATTGATCATTACTGGTGATTGGAATGCAAAAGTAGGGAGCAAAGAGGAAGGATCAGTAGTTGGAAAATATGGCCTTGGGGATAGAAATGATACTGGAGAACACATGATAGAATTCTGCAAAGTCAATGATTTGTACATTTCAAATATCTTCTTTAGTCAGCATAAGAGACGATTATAAACATGGACCTCACCAGATGGAATACATAGAAATCAAACTGCCTACATCTGCGGAAAGAGATGATGGAAAAGCACCATATCATCAGTCAAAACAAGGCCAGGGGCACACTGTGAAATAGACCATCAATTACTCATATGCAAATTCAAACTGAAGCTGAAGAAAATGAAAACAAGTCCACGAGAGCCAAAATATGACCTTTGAATATATTCCACCTGAATTTAGAGATCATCTGAAGAACAGATTTGCTACATTAAACACTAAAGACTGAAGACCAGAAGAGTTGTGGGATGACATCAAGAATATCATACATGAAGAAAGCAAAAAGTCATTAAGAAGACAAAAAAGAAGGAAAAGGTCAAAATGGATGTCAGAAGAGACACTGAAACTTGCTCTCCAGTGTAGAGATGCTAAAACAAATGGAAGAAATGATGAGTTCCAAGAGCTGAACAGAAAATTTCACAGATGAGCTCGAGAAGATAAAGCCAGCTATTACAACAAAATGTGCAAAGATCTGGAATCAGAAAACCAGAAAGGAAGAACACACTCAGCGTTTCTCAAGCTGGGGGAATGCAAGAAAAAATTCAAGCCTCGACTTTCGTTATTGAAAGAATCTCTGGGCAAATTACTGAACGATACAGAAAGCATCAAGAAAAGATGGAAGGAATACACACAGTCATTGTACCAAAAGGAAATGGTTAACGTTCAACTGTTTCAAGAGGTAGTATATGATCAAGAGTCAATGATACTGAAGGAGGAAGTCCAAGGTGCATGAAGGAATTGGACAAGAACAAGGCACCAGGAATTGATGGAATCAAAATTGAAATCTTTCAAGAAAGTGAGGCGGCACAGGAGACACTCATCTCTGCCAAGAAATCTGGAAGACAACTATCTGGACAACTGATTGGAAGAGATCCATATCTGTGCCCATTCCAAAGAGAGGTGACCCAACAGAATGCAGAAATCATCGCACAATCTCTTTGATATCCCATACGAGTAAAGTTTTACTAAAGGTAATACAGAAATGGCTGCAAGTATACATAGACAGAGAACTTCCAGAGGTTCAAGCCAGAT